ATCCTTCGCAGTAGATAGCACTATTTATGCAATATCGCATTAAAATATATGAACTTCATATATTAATTGTATCTGTATTAATATTTAAACAAGTTATGGCAGACAGATTTTTTTACATGAACACATCACATCTACAAACCACTGAACTCAGCCAGACTAGAAGAAAAGACCTTGGTTGTCCAGATTCCACTTTTCAGTCGTTACTGTGCTTACTACGATCTAGTTATCTTGAAAAAAGTATTTAGAAAATGGAAAAATCTGAGCTGGTTTGGTCTCATTGTTCAAGTTGGGCATGCCAATATGGCGGCCAAAAGGCCATCAATTAAAAACAACACTGAAATCGTATTCACAGTAAAACGCTTTTCCAACTCAAAAAGCTTAGCCTACATATTTTGATTTCAAAAAGTAGAATGTTTGATGAACATACAATGGATAAAAAGGGTAAAAAAGAGAATAGTTATCTCGATATTGCACTGAAATAGGCTGTGTCAACTGAATTTCAAAACGCCTACCCATCCTAGTCTTCCGTGACTACAGTACACCTACACCCCTCCAACTCCTGCACATGAATTCCGTAACGACTACATCGAAGATGTAGTGCAAATATTAAGTTTCAGAATTTACCAATTACGAACTTTTGAAGATGCCATGTTAAAAAGAAAAGCGATGCATACTATGATAGTGAAGGGTAAAAAGATTTATCACCTTTTGATATTGAATTGATAAAATTTTCCTCATCAAGCATACCGTTGTCGTAACCCAAGCTCTAAAATAAGATATTTCATCAGCTTTTTTTCAGTGATGGTTCTAGATTTTCAAATCGAAATATTGGTTTACTAGGGGACTATAAATCGTCCGATTGTGTACGAACCAGACACAGATAGAGAATACAATATACAACGACTTCCTTGGCTTCCATCTATATTGACCGCGGTTCTTTATAAATACCAAATACCAAAACAGCTGCGAAACAAATCATGCAAAATAGATTCAATCGGGCTCAACTATGATTGCGATATTCTCAGCTGCTCAAGAAATATGCAAATCCGCAAGAAGGAAACAGAAAACTGACAAGATATTAGAGTCCGAGATAAGTTTGGAATAACATATTACTTCATTCGAATTATCCACGTTACAGCGCATTAGATTATCACTGCTTTCTATGTCACATTTTACTTCGAATGTGTACATCCGAGTGAATATCAGCGATTTTATATTGATGCGTATTTTTTTCAAGGTGGGCACTCAGCCAATTAAGTAGAAGATTCAAATCAACTTCAATTCCAACAATATCAAGAAAGACACGGCCCCATATTTACTTACCACGTCATGTTCGATTTCTTGCTTTCGCCTTATGAGGTCATTTAGCTCACCAAAAGTCATTATGTGTGGGAAAAAACTCCTAAAAGTGAACCGATATGGGAAATTTTCTTAAAATGTTAAAGCTAGCGTTTCAGCGCTTAAATGTAGTAAGATTAATTAATATTTCCTGTTCACGCGACCGTTTAACGTAAATTTAGAACATCTCCATTGTTCATATAAAACTGACATTAATCTAAAACGAAGAAAAGAAAACGTACCAATTCTATCAATATTCTGCTCTTTTCTTGTTTGAATATTGCGCTTACATTAAAAACGTTTTTATTATTGTTCTAAAAAATGACCATTAAGAAAGAAAAACTAAAATAATAACAATAAAACATTACGAGGCTTTCAGCATTAATGTGTGGGCATTTTTGACCAAGCGTGAGGTCAAGATGGCTGGATATTGGCCAAGGTTCTTTTTTAGCATTTTCATCGACCTCGACGAAGTCAGCTTGGTCACTGATTTTTTCCTCTTACAAAAAAATTGGGTGGGGCATTTTTGCTCGGGGGGGGAGGTTTCCCAATTTTAAAATGTGAGTTATATATCCTTGTTGGTCATTGTATCATAATGGTACTTAGCATACCAAGATTAAGGATTAATAGGATCACGGAAACGTCAACGCTAAATATTTTAAAATAAAATCTAATGGGAGAAATGCTTACAAAGTAACGCTTTTACATGATTAGAAGATTCTCTGAAAGTGACAGTGTTTTTCAAGAAGCTACGTTTGCATAAACTGCCGACTTTGAAGTTTCAGAAGAGGATTGAAGCATTTTTACAGTAAATCAGAACAGTAGAAACGTATGCTGCACATGTTGCAATCTGAAGATGACGCAATACAAGTTTGACAAGAATGATAACTTCAATGTATTCAAACTTTTAAAGCTGTGCATTACCAGATTCTGATTTGCCCCCACACACGAAAATATGAAAGAAAGACGTTTCACGTAGTAATTGAAATAATTTGATGACAGATATCATTTGAAAAAAAACTGCTAGGCGAGTTTCAGATGAGAGTATCTTCAACGGTGCAATTTTAAAACTAACACTGAAAAAAAAAAAGCAAGGACCTTCAACACATCTGTAGGCCCCCTGTTTTCCATCAGCACGCCTTTGATTTACCACACTTTGCGTCATAGATGAAACTCAGAAAATAAAGGTCAAGGAAGACTTTTTATTTAGCAGGTAGGAAAGTTACTTTTCTGGTAGGGTCTGGCCTAAGGATGGTTAACGTACTTATAGAAGTACTAGGATCCCTCGAATGACGACACGTCGATTCAAAAGCAAGACAGAAGCTGTTTCTGTAAATTTACGGCCACCATTCACTGGTGCCCTTGAAATCTTCAACTGTCGGCTACTCTCTCTCAAACATGTCAGCGTTCATCTCCCCTCAGTACATTTTCTTCGTTGAAACATTTTGGGCTTCATAGTTTGTAAAATATTATCTGAAAGAATTTATCCTCTTATTAAGTGTCTATTCATCTTGAATAAGGGGGGGCAGCTTTTTAAAGAAACTGTGGTGCCGCGTCGGTGGGGGTAACAAGGTCATTTAGGTTTATCAACTAAGTCAGTTGAAAATGTAAATTGGTCACCGTAAAGAGTTTAAAAGCTGACGTTTCGAGCGTTGACCTTTAGCTAGCTCAAAACGTCCGGCAGCTTTTAAACTCTTTACGGTGGCCAATTTACATTATCAACTTAGTTAATAAAACCAAATTATCTATTTATTTTGGACGAGGAAGCCAAGGTCATTTCACTTTAACATAGATTTCTAAGAAGAAGTAACCTTTGTATCCCTTTACAGGCACTTTACAGAAAACTCTGCATTCGCACAATCGATCACTGTGCATCGGGTCTGAAAGCCATCTACGAAAAGTTCGATTGACGCGTAAGTTAATACACCGCAAAGTTGACGTTAACTCTGAAGGTGATTTGCTTAATCACAAGAAAAGGATTGAAAGCCATCATAGTCTTTCACAAGAAAAAAAGGGCGAAAGTCATGATTGAAAATCACGTTTTCATTACAAAATAGTTTGATTCGTCATCAAGCCTGTCCTATTGACCTGTCAAAATATCTACGACTGCGTCAGTCTTCATTTCTTACAGTCAATGAGAGTAAACATTCGTGTGAGAAAAAGCTATGAAATTGCAGAATTTGATGCAATTTTCTGACGTTACGTATAACGTAACGTCAGAAAATTATATACCTATTTAGCATCACGGTTTTAGTATGATCGCCCAACCTTTGCGACCATTTTTTACCACGGTCCGCAAAATTTACAAGCTAGCTTCCAATGTTTTCAAACTTAGCTGGAAGGAAAGCAAGGAAGGCAGTTAGGTCAGTGCTAGGAACAACAGCCGGATTAAACATATACCAAGAATCTCTGATGATTCAATATCCCTGATTAGAATTAACACTTTCCTAGAAACGAAGGGATGGAAACTGTCTTTGAATATAACTAAACAGAGCAATTCAGTACGCAAAATGTTCCATAGGAGCAAAAACTGAATTGATGAAAAATTATAAATTAACTCTAAAGGACAGCAGATAACGCACCCTTGTATAAATCGGCAAATGCAAGGACCGATTTCTCTGTCGCACATTCTCTTCTTAGAACCAGTTTAAAACGGTTTGTAAAAAGGTGGACGTGTCTCTATTTTGTGCGTGTGTAATCAGATAACTGGAATTTGGCCAAGCACTAATGACAGGTCTGACGTGATGATGTGGAAATCACAAGCTATGACGTAAAACAAATATTTGTAGCTTTTCATGACAGTTTAAAACACGTTCGTTAACTAAACTGATTAATCGAAAAGGCAGTCTTTTATGATTGACTACTGTTAAGTTCGTTGGATGCCGGCTAAATTTTTCCTTTCTCAATTAAGGTTAATGTTCTGGGTCTTAAGTGTTTAACAGTAGCGGAAAATAACACAAATTGGATAGCTAATGGAATGTTTGCTTTGCTTCAGTTTACATATCTAAACCGATATTTTACCCAAAGCTGGCATGTTTGTATTAAATAGCGTCATCTTGATGTTTCTTCGAATCATTTCGGCAGTTTTAGTTATATATAGATTAAGCAGTCAACAAGAATTTTTATCAACCTTCTCCTCGTAAAAGCATTTCACTATATTTTTTCCCGTTGCATTACAGCCCTATCTTGGAAAAGTCGCTTTCAGTTCCAAAGCCTGGCCATAAGCCTTCTATATGAAGACATCTGGCACCCGCGTGACCAGTCGACCCTGAAAGATCAGCGAAGGGTGTATTCAACCCCTCTCGCACATGTCGCTCGCAATTGACTGACAAGTGCACTCTCTTCGCTCAGTTTTCAGAGTGAAGAACAAACAAGATGTCAACGGTTTATCTATATCTGTATAGGGAAGATACAGTGGCATTTGGGGGAAGGCTAATCTGACTGAATGTTCCGGCTTTGTTGGTTACGCAACAAATGACTCACTTGTGTTATTCCTTTCCAACTAAAGCAAATTTGGGTAATCATAGTAATGATTTTGAATAATTTAGACCTATTCATTGTTTTTCACACGGTACTTTAAAGAAATAAATACAAGGTTAGCATATTTTGTTCTTGTGCAAGACACGTCAGTCACGAGAGAAGATCCATTCATTTCCGGATTTTTTACGCTTAAGCTTAAACTCTCTACGGGAGGGCATCTGAAACGTGCCTGTTTGTACGTTCAGAATCCTAAGTTGCTCTTTAAAAGGCAGGGTCCCCATACCAACTCGGTATATTTTCAGTCTGGAGTAAGTTGGTGGACGCGCGCAAAGATGCAACTTTATGCAGCCTTATTGATCTGTTGCAGCATTCCTTTAAGTTTTTGCCTTTCTCCTACTTCAAACAGACAAACGGATAAGTGTCAAGAGGTAAGTTGAGAAATTTTGAATAGCAAAACAATGGGTATGTCTTCTTTTTGCGAAGTTTACTGAGGACTGAACCGACCAACAC